AAAAATGTTAAGTACAGTGAACCTTTCTAAAATATACAGTAGTAAAGAGACAAACCCACCAGCATTATAGTAGCCAAATTCTTGTTTGTGGGCTGTATATATAAAATTGACTTGAAAAAGTTGCTGATTTTAGAGTACTGGCACCTTTTTCATTCCAATTCAAGCACTGTTGGTGACTAGGACCTTGCAGTGGCTGGCGTGGACCCACGTAGCTCTCTCTCTGACCCTTGGCCTTCAGAGCTGTCCTACTGTAGTTATTGGGTTAACACTTGATAGGGATGTTTTCCTGAGTGCAGACAACTCAAGGTAATGGATTAGCACATTATCATTTAAATACAAAAATAGGATAGGCCCCTCAGAATTATTTGGGAGCCTTCCTGAGACATGCACATGCATAAATGTAAGGTTTGTGTTAGTCATTTAACATGCAAGAATCATATACTCATCAGTCCAAAGTAGAGAAATGTTATTGTAATTTAAAGGTGAGCTAGTCCCTGTGGATATCACCCCTTCTCAATGATTCTAAATGTTATATTAATTCACCATTTACCGTTTGATAACACATTAGTTTATCAGAAATATTTTCCTCTTCCATAAAACAGGTTTGAGAAATAAATGTTCCAATATAAAATCAATTACTCAATATAATTGACTCTTCCCTCCCTTTTCTTACATATGTCTCATATGAAATAATAACTTAGAAGTCTATTTAAGCATGGTGTAATCTATTACTCGAGAAGACTCAGTATCACCTGTGTGCAGCTTACAAAAAAACCAATTGTGAGAAACATATATTATGCAGGAAATGCATACCTTTGTTAAAAAAACAAAGCATATCTGATTTGGGAGGAAAAGCTTCTTCCCCCTAACATCTGAGTCACTACTGAAGGCATAGCATAAATGATAGTGAGTGTCTGAGGGTGTTTTTACTGAGAAATGTCAAACACATTCAAAGCCTTACATTTGAAAACTGGTTTGCATTCCTTCTCTTAAAATGACGTTATCATTGGAAACAATAAAAGCTAATTGTTTTGATGTAGAATCTATCAATTGAATCGTTAGAGCAGAACAGAATGGTCGTATTGTAGCCTGAGTACCGTGCAGCCTTTAGTTTCACCAGGTGGAAACATTGTCCATATAATGTGAATACATGTAGAACTAGACATTCAGAGGCCCCTGACATTTAGGCCTATTTTTAAAAATAGTAGGGGCTTTTAACAGCTTGCCAACCTACAGGCATCCTCTGCATAGCAGTATGAATAGCCTTAAAAAAACAACCCACTCTGCGGTAACGAGAGTCATATTTCTGAACCAAATGCCCTAAGTTAAGCCGTTAGTCCCATCTGACTGACCCAAGGGTTGGTGCTGGTGTGACCGGGAGGCTTCCAGGTGTTCTTTCAGTTCATGGCTTGGTGGGGGGAGTGGCCCACGTGAGACAGTATTGTTCAGTTTGAGGAGCGGCATTGTCTCTGGAAGCAGGTAATGGTGTCCATTCTCAGACCAGACCATTAATGTCATTTCATGTAGAGCAGCCATAGCATCTCTGTGACTGCACTCAGAACTGTCAGAACTGGGTGACTCTTAGTGAAATCGTCCAAGGCCATAGACAGAATGGAACCACGTACCAACAAAAGGGACACAAGGTCATCAATGTCTCTCTTTACCATTGGCCTAATTGCACAACAAATTAGTGGGAAAAATGTGGAGCACTAATCCATCATCATGTGAAATGTTGAGTTAATCTAAATAATTACTTATGGGTTGAAATCAAATTAACATTAGAACTAAAGTCAGTCAAAATTGGACTTCCACGGATCCGAATCTAAGCAATACACCATTTCCCCAGCTCTGTAATGAAAAGGATAAGAAGATTAGGTACATTACAGGAGTGTTCCACACCCAAACATGCACACTTATCTTATTCTAGTAGAGATTAGAGGACAAGGTCTAATGTTGTGAACAAAATGATCAAGTCAAAGTTATTTTGTTTATTGTTATGTACCTAATTTAATTTAATAATTAATCTTGAATTACTAATAACTTTAAAGAAGGCAACAATTTACAATTTGGATGAAGTGATTACTCATCCAAAGTGTGTGTGTGTGTGTGCTTATCTGCCCAAGGTTTAAAACATTTGGGACAGTACAGCAGTGAGAATGTTATGAGAACCAATCTGTTGTTTATATTAAACTCGAAGGAAGCTAGACTGGAACATTTTAAATAAATCAAAACACTTGCACATTAATTAAATACATTTGACATTTAGCTCGAGCTGGGTTCAATACTTTTCTTTATGGTATTTAAAATTGGGCTCGAGTAGAACCCCTGGATTTGGCTTGCAACACAAAGTGATACTGATCTCTGTAGGACTTGGAAGTGTTATGATTCAAAGTGCCTGTGAAAGAGAGGCCCTTGGAAAACAACACCTATTTTTTAACTGTAATTACTTATTTTAAAGAAATTGCAACATTATACTTTTAAAGAATTGCTCAATTAATTTAACACATTTATTATGCACACAATAAAAACTTCAACAAATATATTGATCCTGGCTTAACCAGCGACCTTTACTCTGTTGTTCATAAGCTCGGTTTCAGAAAACTTGTCAGTAGTTTAACAACTATTTTAATTTTAGTAATGTCTATAGAGACCAATTGGTTGATACTAGAAATATTTTCAAGCAGTTTAATAAATAATGTTAAACTATTTTTAAAACTGTAATTGAACTTCAACTTATATTAATTACCTGATTCCAGTGGCCAGTTGGAACAGAATAATTAACACAGTTTCCATTTTGCTGCAACAGCGCAAAAGGTTTCAACAACAATTAGTATTATGTCTGAGTCTAGTTCTGTCTTATCTGCTTTGTTTCGGAATGTGTTCAATACATTACGTTTTTATTCATTATTACTATACAATACATAGATTAAGAATAAATGAAACAAATAATACAACATTGACCTAAAACCAGATTTTGCAACCCTGATCTCCTCAGGCAGGTCTCTGAGGGTCTCGGGGCGCAGGACGGGGCATAGGGTTTATACAAGGTCACAAAGATATCTTAACATACCAGCAATACCATTTAAGAATGGATTCTTAAAGCAATATAATCTTATTTTCTTCTTACACCTAGCGCTCACCCTGAACAGTGTGCTTCTTGTTTACATTTTCCCCTGCACTCAGAGGCAGGACATAAAAACACTTTTTATTTTTCTCAGGTCATTTACTTTTGGTGAGATAATTAAAGTTTAGTTCATTTTACCCTGTCTATGGACTGATTCATTATTGTTACAAAACATACACAAGACGGCGGGACAAACCAATATAGACCCCCATACAAACAATCAGACAAACAAAACATGAACTCTTAATAAACACCAGCGCGACAGCAAAGCTCTTCAGCTCAATTTAGTCCGGATTTTAGAGATCTTAGAGGGGGTGGGGAATTCTCTCCAGTGCGGCGTCTTCTCACGCCTCACCCTTGTATACAAGTGATTTATCGGTGCCTGAAAGCCGTCCAAGAACGATAACTAGCTTATCCTCTTGCGACAACCACTAGGCTATTTGTTTCTAGTGGCGCTGTGCCCCCCCGATCGGAGCCCACAGACTTTTCCCTGCCCTTTCTCTCCAAACAACAGCTCAGTTGACTGTAGTCCGTACGACCAGCCTATATCTACTCGCCATCGAGTTCACCTCAAGGTGAAACACAGTTTGCCTATGCTTGCTTGCCACTACACACCTCTGATCAATTAGCCTATAATTGTATGTATGCACTCCTGACCGCCACCTGCTCCAGAGAGCCGTAGCGCATCGGGTGATGCACGCACCTCGCGCTGGCCCGTCTAACCATGAGAAAAGCGGTCCTAAACAACGAGTGCTTTTAGACCGTCCCGTTTGAAGGACGGCGGTGCCGTGAGTTAAAACCTATAGGCAATAAGCTGTGACTTTCTCCCTCTCAGCCTGCACTGCTCCAGCCCCACACACACGCAGTGAGGTTTTACACACACACGCAAGGCTGCAGCTGGAGCCGTGTTTTTACAGAGAGGTGATAGCAGCAAATATCTTTGGCTGCTTATTTTCAACTGCTGTGCTTAGCCACTAAGACCCCCAAACTCCGGCGATTTGTCCAATACAAATCTTTTACATTGCTTTCAATTCACACAGAAGCTCCACTTCACTGATGCCCTTTCCTTAAGGTATCTCTAAACATGAGCTGTGTATGCCTGTATGGCACTTCCGTCCCGAGCAGCACACACAGAGGAAATAAGCCAGGACTGAGTCCCCAGACACTGATTCCCTGGGTTTATCATCCCCAAATGTTCATTAACCAAAAGGAAACGCAGCCGATCAGTTTCACAGGTAATTTTAGGATACCGTCAATCACAGATTCTGATAAGGCAATGTCCAAATGTAGATTTGAAAATCACACTTACCACAATCTGAAGATCTGTTGGCATCCTGCCGACAACGCCAATTTGTAATGGAAACTTCTGTGTAGCTATGCAGTGGGAGTCACCGACTCAGGAAGGAGACACGGGAAGAGCAGTAGCTTTGATGTCAAACACATGATGGTTTATTTGGAGTTAACGGCCGGAGGATTCACATCACAAGTCCAAGAGTCAGAGGTTCTGACTTCACGGTAGAGTTGCCACGTCAATTCTGGAGAGCCTCTCTCTTGCCAGCCCATCTAACTGGTTTCGCAGAGAGTAAACAACATATTTTGAGGAGATAGCCTAAACAGTGTGGGAACACAGAGCTACTTGCCTCGGACACCTATGACCTCGAAGATTTTACCTTGGAGTCCACAAATACAGAGAAGGAAGTGTCCCAGTGTACCCACAACACAGACCATCTGTATCCCAGTATTGACCGGTCACAGAATGGGAACAATAACATTATTGGCTAAGCCGCCTGTGTCCTTAAAGAAGGTAAACAGACATCAAGGTTTGTCCTGTATGTTACTAATTGGCGTCTTATGATAATTATTTCCACAACACAAAGTAAATTACTTTTGAATTGTGTAACTGTGTCATTGTTACATGGCAAAATAAATGGTTCATATTAAATCTGAGTTTGTTTCTGGTTATGTGAGTTTATTTTTATTTTTAGATATCTGTGGTCAAATAGTTCCATACTGTACAAACATTTACCGGTAAATTGCACAAACCAAGAAAGATATTTGATATTCTCATATGAGATGTAAGCTTGTATACATTCAATCAATCAATCAATCAATCAATCAATCAATCAATAGGATACGGCTGTAATAGGCCTAAGGCCTTTTAGTTGCTCATAAATAAATAAGTAGATCACTGATTCTTTATTTACTATGGATGCTGGCAACAGTCACATAGTCCAAAGTGAAGGTGATGTTTGACCAGTAATGGTCGAGGCGGGATTTGAGACAGTTAACCGTCTTGGATGTGACAACGCTTTCTGGCAGATCATTCCACAAGTCAACCACACGCAGGCTGAAAAAGTTGCGGCGGATAGCCAGTCTTGAGTACTGTTTCTTCAACTTGAGGCAGTGTCCACGAGTCCTGGTGTTATAATCCCGTTGTAGTGGGCATGATGTTTTGTAGATGTTGTGGAGATATTTGAAAACTTCGATCATATCTCCCCTCGCCCTTCTATAATACATACTCGGGATTTTAAGACTTTGCAGTCATTCTTGATATGGTAGGTCCTGGAACCAGCTTCGTTGCCCTTTTCTGTATTTTCTCGATGAGCTCAGCATCCTTTTTGTACATGGGGACCAAGCGACATTCCCATACTCGAGGAGTGGCCGTACAAGAGAGATGTATAAACTACGTACTACGTCAGAGTCCAAATAAGTGTATGATCTGCGGATCATTGCTAGGATACCATTCGCTTTGTTACTTGCCCGACGGATATGGTCACTAAATGTCAGGGTATTGTCAACATTCACACCAAGGTCCTTTTCATTCTGAGTCTCGGATAGGTTTATAGTGTTTGAATTATCACCCATATTATATACTCATATTTTTGATTCAGAAAACCTAAGTGCATTACTTTGCACTTTGCTGCATTGAATTTGAGCTGCCAACACTCGGACCATCTTTGCATTTATCTGAGATCTGATTGGAGTTTTTCTGCATCCTCTTTACACTTAATTTCCTTGAAGACTTTAGTATCATCTGCAAACATCTGGACCATGGAGCTCACATTATCGGGTAGGTCGTTGATATAGAGGACAAACAGTGCAGGACCCAGGACACTACCTTGTGGAATTCCACTGAGAACTGGGCACCATCCAGATGGTTTCCCGTTAACAAAGACTCTCTGTGGCCTGTTTTTGAGAAAGTCTGAGATCCAGGTGAGTATGTCTCCACGGATACCATACCCATAGAGCTTCTTCAGTAATCTTTTGTGAGGTACAGTATCAAATGCTTTCTGGAAATCAAAATAAATGGCATCGAGACTTCCTCTCTCGTCCAGGGTACGAGACCATATGTCAAGGCAGGCCAGGAGTTGGGTTGAACAGGATCTGCCCTTGACGAAGCCGTGTTGGCGGTCTGATAATAGGTTGTTTGAGTCAAGATGTTCTATGACGGCATCACGCACCAAGGATTCAAGGAGTTTGCATACTACTGCTGTAAGGCTGACAGGCCTATAGTTTCCAGGATTTCTTCGGTCACCTTTTTTGAAAATAGGAGTTACATGACCATCCTTCCAAGGCTGTGGTACCACACCTTCATCAAGCGATTTTGTTTATATAGTAAGTAAGGGTTTATCTAGTTCGTCACACAGTTCTTTGAGAATCCTGGGATATATGCCATCCGGTCCTGATGCTTTTGAGGCATCTAAGTTCGATAGTTTTTTATGGATGTCCTTTGATGTGAAGTCCAATTGATTTAGTGTAGTATTAAATGGTCTGTCCTGGAAGTCTGGTATTGATGAGGTATCCTCCTTTGTGAACACACTAGCAAAGAAGGAATTTAGTGTATTGGCTTTGTCCTTGTCATTTTGAGCCAGGCTGTCATTAGCCTTTTTCAGATCTCTGACTGTGGCATTGACTTTTTGCTTGCTTCTGGCATATTTATAAAAAGCTTTCGGATTCTCTTTGGCTTCCTTTGCAATTTTTCTTTCATGCTCTCTTTTAGCTTTCCGACACTCCCATTTAACTTGGTTGCACAATTTTGCATAGGAACAACGGTCACTCTCTGTACCAGATAACCTTTGTAAGGTGTAAGCTGCACTTTTTGATTTGATTTTATGTTTGACTCTATCATTTATCCATTCCGGAGTAGAGCGATTTTTCTTACTTTTTCCCGATGACATAGGTATGTGCCTCTTGCAACTTGTTAGGATTTTTTCTTCCATGGCCTCCCACTGTGCTGAAGCTGACTTGTTTTCAAAGGTCTGTGCCCAGTCTGTCCCAATAATTTCCTGTTTCAGGCCTTCATAATTTCCTTTATCAAGGATGAACTTGCGGTTTGGATTATCGCATATCTCATGGTATCATAGACATTTGAAAAACAGGTAGTCATGGTGACTTTTTCCTAGTGGTGCTTCCTGGCTTAGATCCTCAACCATTCTCTCCTCATTTGTGATAATTAGGTCAAGCACGTGTGGGGTTTGGTTTCCTCTTGCATGAGTTGGTTTTGTTATATGTTGAAATACTTAGCAGTCTCTCAAGCATTCCAGGATTGGGTTTGTATTTAATATCTTACTAGAAATACACTTTTTTACTAAGAACTAAATACAGTGTCTTGTCTAGAAAATAGCAGACGGCTATTGTAAAAGAGAAGATGTATTAAGATGAATCATTATTATTATTAATTATTTATCTTCCAGATACTGATACCAACTAGGATTACAAAAGTAAATAATAGATTCCCACTTCATATTTGAAAAGCTTTATAAGATGGTGAGAAAAGTTGCAAAAGTAAACGTGCACACATTGTGCAGCTTAAGATACTGGTCTCCATATGATTCTGCTTTTCCAAAGATGTATGAAATAGCATGAAAATGTTATTATCTAAGCAAAGTACCTCAAATGTGTACACAAATACAATACGTGTGTAAATGTACTTGTATTTGATACATGGTCAAAAAGCCCTTTGTTCTCTAGAAAAATAACAGATATGTTCATTAGATTGTAAAACGTTATAGGTCGATATTTACAGGGACTGTTGTAAAAAACAATCAGCTCATACACGTTCACAGAGTTTAATTTCCCTTCCAAAAGCTGTCCTTTCTCCAAGTCCTACCGTGCCTCTGATTGGCTGAGATTGTTTGCTGAGTCCAGGAATGTCTGACTGTAAGCAAAGGCATGCAAAAATAAGTAAAACGAAAGTGAACGATGAACACACATGTAGCAATTCTGAAACTTGAGGCTATTTATGTAAGCAGAGTGAACTCACAGCCTGCACCATTGGAAGAACATACAGAAACAAATGTGAACACTAAATAAAAGCATTTTTACAATAACTATCAATACTGCAGGGGAAGAAAGCTAAATTCAGTATCTGATGCAAACTGTACCTTCAAACTGTGTTGGGGATTAGTTTCATGAACATTAACACACATTCCCCAAAATGTAACTGTATACATATGTGAGGAATATGCATCTGGAACAATGTCAAAGAAGATGGAGGGCAAAAAAAGGGGAAGAAATGTCTATTTTTAGATGCTCATTCAATTAAATTGCTGGCACTTTGCAATATGCATGAAATCAGACTAATCTGGTGGAAAGGGTATTAAAGGGAGAGCAGAGGTAGAGCATGCTGAATCTGTGTACAATATGTCAATGTTCTGCTTCTTTATACTTAATCTAATACACTACATCTCAGAGGTAAATACAGTATACTTACAGCTTTTTTTTACTTTTCAGATAATAGTTTTCCATCCCCTTCCTGTTCAGTGAAAACGATTTAACTCAAGATGATTTTGAACGTTTGTGATGAAATTCAGGTAGAAATGTTTATTTTCTCTGGTGAGGTAATCCACCTCCACCACCACAAATCTGACAAACAGGGCTGTTTTTCTGAGAAACTCATGAATGGTTTACTTTTTAGAGGTAAGTGGTTATCACAGGTCAGGACCAAGCGCCTAACATATAATTATCTTATAGAATATAATGCATTGCGTGCGGCAGAATAAACTAACCAACAGTAAGAAATCAAAAAACCTCAACAGCATTAAAATGCAACATATTCAATTCTGTTGATGCCGCAAAGGTATCTTTGCAGGGCTATAGCCGCTTTCACACAAAGTACTTTGTCGTACTTATGGCGCGTTTCCACTGCAGGCCTCGCTCGGTTTGGTTAGGCCTTATTAGGCCCGGCTCACTTTAATGCTGCGCTTCCATTACAGTTTAGGAACTGGGGCAGTTACTATAGTAACGCAGTGTAGGCGGAGCCGTGACGTCATCTTCAATGAGAGCCCCAGAAAAACAACACAGCCGTTAGCTCTTAGCACTCAGAGCTCACAGCTCCTCATATCTGTTCAGAAACTAGACAAAAGTTAAACAAGTACAAACCACAGACTGCCTGTGTCATGGCGAATACAGTCGCTGGTTTATTTATGTCTGTATAGGCCGTTGTTGTGAGTGTGGACGGTCGGAGCATATATAACATTAGCTTAGCCAAGCTACATTTAGAAAACACGCATTTTAAAAGGGTTTTTCGCCTGCCGTCTGTCTGCAGACTTGTCAAAGCATTAATTCATGGTTTTTGATTGATTGATTGATTGAAAAGTTTATTAACAGCTTGTATATTGGGTACAGTACAGTCAGACCCGGCGTCATGGGCGGGCCCCATGGGGCCGGGCCCGCCCATCCAGGATTTGGGCCCGCCCATCCAGGATTTGGGCCCGCCCATCCAGGATTTGGGCCCGCCCATCCAGGATTTGGGCCCGCTGTTTTAATCAGGGCTGAATACAACATTTTAATTGTTTTATTATTATGTTCAGTGGCGGCGCCAAGGTATACTGGGGTAGGCTACAGCCATACCAAGAAATGGCTTAGCCCCACCATGAAAAATGATTTTAAAGTAAGCTAAATAAAGTCCACCAACTCGCGCGGAGTAAATTGCACAGACAG